GATTTTCTCCGCTTCGGAAGCATGGAAGGCTGAGTCAATCCTGAGCCGGTGAGATTTGAACCGCTGACCTGCTGATCTAGCAGTAGCCTGCAGTGCTGCATTTAACCACTGCGCCACCTTGGCTCCTAAAGACTTGCATGAAACAAGACAGAGAGGATGTAGTTATATGAACTTTCCTGGTTACCAGCCTGAGTGATTTAGCATGTTTTGTGACATACTATTTAAATTTCTCCATTAAAAAACTTTAAATTTAAATTACTCCTTCATCAAAAAGCTTACAGTAACCATTTCTCAATCTAATTTACAGGATAGTTGTGAAGATAAAGTAGGTGAGCTGTGCATCCTGACTTAAGGTACTTTTAAAGATTAAAATGAAAGATTAAAAGAGAAGTTTATTCTAAGGCAGGTTTGTTAGAACTTTAAATGTTTTCCATACCAAGGCTTAACTTCTGAGCAAGAATATTCTGAAGTTTGTATTTTCACTCGTGGCTAGTTCACCTCTGCCTCTGGACATATTGTCTGAATTTGCTTCAAAGGAAATGAAGTAATACTGTAGTTCATTTCATTTAGAAGTTGGTCGATGCTACCTCCCTTGGCATGGCTTTCTTACAATCTGCTATTCGGAACAGAAATAGTGCTTGAAAAGATAAAACACAGCATTATAGAAAATTTATTGAAAGAAGGGCCTTTAAGGGACAGTTGATTTGGCATTCTGCTATTTGTATCATTTTTTATTTTTTTAAAACATTTCATAACACTTTGATTAAGCATTTTTGGGTAGATGAATTATCTTGACCAGTGAACTATCAGCATGATATCTGGTATATACAATGGCTCAATGCAGTACTTTAAAACTGGATTAAAAATACATTTGCTGTGTTCACATAACAAGCAATGCCCAACAAGTTTTGTTTAAAAAGAAATCACATATTCTTTAAAGTGGTGGTGTAGTTCATAGGAAGTTAAGACTGTGTCTGGATTTCTATAAGATGCTGAATCATAAATTCCCCTCAACTATTACTGGTATATCCTAGCCTCGTAAGTTGTGTGGAACCAGACAGTCAATATATTATACTGTATGTCCACTTTTAATGCTAAGCAAGTATTCATCCTCCAGATATTTTCAAAAGAGGAAAAAATACAATATCCTGTCCTTTGATATGAAGTCAAAACTGGTATCAGAATTAAATGATAGCAGTTCCTAGAAGGTTTCACACCTATTTGCACTATCCAGCTGACCCTGAGGGCATAGATAAACTTCCAAGTGGCCTCAACAATTCTCAGAAAGAGAATTGTGCTAATGACCAGATGATTGCAAGGAATATAAATCCTTCCATTCTCCACCATTCAGTCAGAACTGAAGAAGCTTCTGGGATGAGAAGTGAAATGTCTTCAAGGAAAAACAAAAAAAGCACCTTTGGAACAACCATGACCTGGATCTCCATAGATATTTATCAGAATTAAAGTAGTGTGCATATGTACATTTCAAACCATGCTTGATTTCTGTGCTCAGCTTTCAACAGCAGTGTGATAACCTTCCTTATGTAGTACAGAAATGATAATGATATTTGCTATATATATTTACATGGGCCTCCATTTAAATTCACATTCCCTTTGAACTTCTTAGTTATTCTGCAGAGGTGGCAAACAGTGCAAAAATAGGTTATAATACAGTATCTTAAGTGAATCTAATACTGTGCTTGATTAGTTATTTCAAGTACTTGCAATGAGTATTAAGTACAATATCCACTTTATGATGCTTTTACAGAATTCTAACTAGTGTTTGAATTAGTCATTAAAAGCATATTTCATTTTGGAAAAAGTTGGGGTATCCAAAAAATGGGACTCAAGATTGTGTTGCAGAAAATACAAGACAAATGGAAGATGGTTTGAACCTTGACCCACACACCATATATTTGATACAGTTCACCTTGGCCACCAGTCCTAGTACAATTTATTCAAAGGGTTAAATGCATATTATTTTATATTATTATATGATGCACCCTCCAACTTTCCTCATCAACATCAATTTAATTAACGCATTGCAAACAAGACTAAAATGATTTGCCACTTTCAATTTAAAACAAAACTAAGTATACTATGCTGCAGTACGTCAGAAGTAGAAATATAGGATTGGGGAGCCTCAACTATTTTTTTTAAAAAAATCTAAAACCATTCTATTTTTTTGTGTTTGAAATACTGTAGCTTCCTTCCTTTATATACATACCTTGGGACAAAATCTCTGCAAATATACTGAACTTCTGAAAAAGCATGGATGGGCATGCACTACACAGTACAAATCACTGGTAAGCATATGACATGTATATATTTTAGGAGCGTAACACATCATCTTATTTTGATGTTCAAGAACCAAGGAAAACAAAAGTCACAACACACCTCTCAATACCGGAAGTAGAAAACTTATCAGGTACTTTTTTGCAAGGTACAAGCAGAATATATCTGAACCAGGGGCGGGTTCTGGCAGGCACTACTTCTGCTCCACTCGTGTGCGCACTGTGTATGTGCGTATGCGCAGTGAAATTAAAATTGTTCTGCGCATGCGCAGAACTGAAAAACAAAATGGTGGCGCCTATGGCACTGCCCGGAGAACTGGTTTGGGGACGTGGCAGGCCTGGGTCGCTGCCAGTTCCAGTGACCCAGGCCACCAAACCACTACTGGTTTGGCTGAACCGGTCCAAACCAGTAGGAGCTCACCACTGATCTGAACCATAATGGGATGGAGATCATCCTGATATAAAATGGAGCAGGGCTTTAAAGGGCAAAGAGGAGAAACGTTGAAATACTTTTAGGTATTCTGCAGCCATCAAAATTAAGGCATCTGTCTTTTTTCTCCTCATTTCTCAGAAAACAAGTCTTTCCATCTGCTCTTTAACTGAAATTAGAGTCACAGTTGCCTCAAGGGAAGGCAAGAGCTTCTCTTGCTCATGTTCATAACAGATTAGTATTCTGAAATTTTTACTCCTTTCCCTACGATTCTTCTCGTGTAAAGAGGAGACTATCTTTCCTGGCTCCTCATTTCCCCCATTACCATAGTTCTGTAAGTGCCAAGGTAGATTTCCATAATGGGAAGCCCTCTCTTATTCTAATAAGTTTCTTTCAAGAAAATAACCGAAAACTCAAGCTTCTCTGCTGCTAAAGATATTCCTCCAATAGGTGGATAGTTCCCTTCCTTATGTGGGTTCGAGGGGCATCTTTATTTGTGTGAAGACCTTTCTAACTAGGGCAGCACTCAAAGAAATACAGGTAGCCCTTGAGTTACAACTGTAATGGAGCATGGTTATTATTGACAGAAGTCAGTATGATCTCTAAAGAAATTGTCTCATTATTGACCCCTCCCTTTCCCCACCCAATACATTTGTCATTAAATGGGGCATCTCAGAAGTGGGGGAGACTCTGGGAGGCCTAATGCAGGCACAGACCTACGTGCATTGGGCCTCCCAAGGGCACTCCCTACCCCGAGATACTCTATGCTCCAATTCCCACTCTTTGGGGTTCCCATAGCCCTATGGACCTCCCCCTTATCTCAGTCCATCACAATTGCATGCTTACCTTTCAAAGATCCGCAGAGCTAAGGAGATCAAGATAGGGAAGGAGGACAAGTCTAATCTGTTCCTGGTCCACGTGGCAAAATCAAGAAGAAATCCTGCCACTTTCCCCTTTATTGTTAGCCTTAGTTCCCCCCAGCACTAGCTACAGTAGCATAAAATTAGCATAGCTAAAGCTGGGGGAGCCAAGACTAGTGATAAAATGAAAACAGTCAGAATTTATTTTCCTCAATTGTGCCACATGGCCTAGCAGCAGCCTGCCTGCTTCCTTCCCCTGACTTCCTGAATCTCTTCAAAAAGTGAGCAAACAATGACTGGGGTGGGGTGGCAACGCAGGCCTAGTGTCTGTGGGGGCCTTGCAGCGCAAAATGGAGGGGGGGAATAGTTAGATGGACATGCTGCAGCATTTCCATGGTTGGTCAGTCTATGAGGGCACTGCAGGGGTTGTAACTTTGGAACAAGGTCATATGTAGAGGGGTTTTTTGGGGGCGGGGCGGAGGTCTGCTGTAACTTCAAACGGTCAACCTTCATAACTCGAGGACTACCGGTATTAGAAGAACTCACATTTCCCATCAAGGGGTGTGAAAATTAGCCCAAACCCAAGGAGAAACACAGTAATAGTGTCCGTAGGGAACACATTTAAGCTGTTCAACCTGTATAACCTTTGCAACATTATAAACAAATAAGGGCTATAATTCCCCATACTGCAAATTTTACGGGGCTGATTTACACCAAGAAAATACTTGCCAAGGCCAACAAGCAGGAATCTCAGTGGCGACACTGAAACCGAAGCATTTCCGATGCATTTCAGTCTTTAAGCCACTATCCTATTGTCACTTGACAGAGAAATCTACTCCAAAATGTTCAATAAACGCCACTAAAAGGTAAAACAAATAATAATAGAAAAATAATGACATATAATTTAAACCTCTGATGTTGTCACTACAAGCCTACAAATGCATGGCAGTGACCAGGCTACATAAGATGCCAGATTGTTCTTCAGTAATACCAAGGAAGGCCATCTGCTTTTTGTGCTTCTTAGGGTGTAACATGACATCCGTGGATACAGAACTGGAACTTATATCAGATCGTTCAGCTGTTTCACCCAGCACTTTTATTCCAATTAGCAGTACTGTTCTATGGCAACAGTCTTTCCCACTCATGTTATCCAAAGATATTTTAAGATGAAAAAGCAAGGGATTGAAACCATGACCTGCTGTGGTAGCATGAAGCCATGAAGCAGTCCACTGAAGGGTGTATGTCAATTTCATGTGGTAATATTATTTGCTGTTTTCACATGCTACTAGCAAATAAAAGAGATTTATCTCATCAGAGTTTGATATGAGTGCTAATTGTTTCTCCTCCACTGCTATCAACACAACTTTTCTCAGCCTCATGGAAACATGAGGGATAGTAGAAGGTTAAGATATTCTGAGAATTCCAGGGGAAAAGTAATGGCTGATACGCCTGAAGGTATTTGAAATGGGGTGTCATTTTCAAAATCATAACAAGGAAAAGAATATTCCAGGGAAGATTCTAAGATCCTTTTAGGATCTTGGATGGAAAAGAGGGAATCTTGAAAGTGGATTTTAACCAGTGCCAGGGAAGAAAACATTATATTCTTGCAGGTTAGGTTCAAGGGATTTGGACAAAAGATCCTACAGGAGATGAGGAACAAATTGCTGTTTGAGACATCCATCACTATTTCTTCAGGGGCTGTAATAGAGAGGAACTCTGCAGAGAGCTCTTCTTTAGAAATTACACCGCATGGGTTTTTTGATGTCTAGTCAGATGTGAATTCCGGTTAAATCTCTTCCCGCACCTGAGGCACATATAAGGTTTCTCGCCTGTATGGATTCGCTGGTGCTTCTTGAGACATGAGCTTTGGCTGAAGCATTTGCCGCATTCTGTGCATTTGTAGGGCTTCTCTCCTGTGTGAATCCTTTGATGCTGGATCAAATCGGAGATCCCGCGGTAATTTTTCCCACACTCAGAACAGAGATAGGGTTTTTCTCCCGTATGAATTCTCTTATGAACGACGAGGTGAGAGCTTTGGGTAAAGCATTCACCACATTCTCTGCAAATGTAAGGTTTCTCTGCAGTGTGTATTCTCAAGTGTCTGATAAGATGGGAGCTGACCAGAAAACCTTTTAAACAGACAGGGCACCCAAAAGGCTTTTCCCCTGTGTGGATTCTTTGGTGAGCAACAAGATTAGAGCTCACGCTAAAACTCTTCCCACAGTCGGGGCATTTATATGGTTTCTCTCCAGTGTGTATTCTCTGATGTGCAATCAGGGTTGAGCTTTGGGAAAAGCTCTTACCACACTCGGGACACGTGTAAGGTTTCTCTCCTGCATGGATTCTTTGGTGCTTCACAAGGGCCGAGCTGTCACTGAAACGTTTCAAGCATTCGCGGCAAACGTAAGGTTTCTCTCCGGTGTGGGTTCTTCGGTGCCTGATAAGTGGTGAACAGCGCTTAAAGATTTTTCCACAGTCAGGGCACTTATAGATTCTTCCACCCTTCCGGGCTGTGGCTTGGTTGGGTTCTCCAACAGTTCCTCCCCGTGGCATGGTTTTACAATGTCTCTTTCTTGGCATGTAACCTGAGATCTCCGGACCAAGTTCACTATCACAGGGTATTTCATCCCCTTGGATTTGAAAAACATTGATTTCATATTCTTCCAGAAGGGAACTTTCATCTGGAAGAAGTACCTCCTCTTTTACTAGGTTTTCTTCATTCTCTGGGAGTATCACCTCTATTTTCACCAGACTTTCCTCATCATCCTCTTCTTCCTCTTCCTCTTCCTCCTCCTCCACAAATATTCTCTCTTCTTTCACCAGGTGTTCTTCATCCTCTATAATTGTGAATATTTCCTCCTCTTTTACTTCCTCCTCCTCCTCTGATAGAATTTCCTCCTCTTTCACCAGATTCTCCTCTTCTCCCATCATCTTTAACCTGCTTGAAAAAAGGATTCCTGAAATATACAAGCCATAGTATCAACAAGTTAAAAGTTAGGAAATCAGGAGCACAAGGGAAGGGGGGGGGGAATGAGGTAAACAAAAGCTAAAAAATTAAACAAGAAGTAGATTTTCTATATTAAAGAAATCATACTATGAGGTTTTACTCACTCAATCATTACTATCTAAAGCAGGATTTGGCACCTTTCAAATCTATTTCCTTCTTAAAAATGAGCAAAATTCTATGACTCAGTCTCATGATTCAATAGCATTCTACAGCACTTGAAAATAACTGTTACCTCAGTAATTTGTACAACAGCCCTGTAAGGTGGGCCTTTTGTTGCAAATGATGCAGCTGACAGGTAATATTTTCCCAAATCTGACTAGAAAAGCTGACTGAACTTGTCTAGAGCTTGGAAATGTGTTTGTGCTATTACAGGGTGATCAATGGCTGATCATAGTAAATTTAACTAAGGCAACATTGTGAAGCACAGCATTTTAGAATGTGCTAGGAAATTCCTGAGTCAAATATAAGCAAGGCATAAATTCATAGCCTTGCAGTGGATTAAATGTGGTTGTAAATTGCATAAAAATAGTGGGACTTACTTCTAAGTAAGCATGTTCAGGATTGTATTATATTTGGCCTTAAGTATGCTCAAGGCCCTCACTTTCCAAATAAGTATAACTGATGAAATATTTGATGAATTTATAGGATTATTCTAAGGATCAGAGTGACCAACGCAAATTATAACTGTGTATAATTATTACATTATTATAATGTAGTACATTATTATTTACAACAGGGATCATCCCAGAGCATGCTGAAATTGTGCTGCTGAAATTTGGCCATAAAATTACCTGATTTCCAAGACATGGTATTTGACTTAAAAATGGAAATACAATTTTTAGGAAATAAGAAAGAAGGTGAAAGATTCCTATTTTCATTCTTAAAAACTCTCAAAAGACCAAATATAATGAAAAATATGGTCCAAAAATGTTCCATTTTCTCCTTCCAATGATGTCAAAAACCTATTTGACTCCTTAGCTGGTTGGGCTGATGAACCTGGGATCCCAATCTCTCAAACTGCCTAATTTGGATATTAAGGTACATGTTTTAGGAACATTGCAATCAGAAATCTAGTTCTTCATTATTTGACAAGGTCATTTGCAGAAAACTCTGTGTTTCAGTCCCTTGACCTTGAAAGGAATCTAAAAAAAATCTCAGGGAGTGCTTTTGTCAAAATTGACTTAAAGCATGTGGTATCAAAGGAAAATTGTGTATCCCAACTTATTTGAACTCCCCAATTGCCATTTAGAGGCAATTTAAATAATCCCATAAAATGGAACCATTGTTAAAGAATCCTCCCCTACCTGCCCCACCAACCAAAGTACAAATATGAGTTAATCTTTTTCAATCTGATGCCCTTCAGAAATATTATTGCAGCTCACAGCTCACAATAACCACAGACTTTTCTGACTGGAAAATCTGGAAGCTGCTGTAATACAACTCCTGGAAGAAAAGAAGTGGCTGATTTAGGACTGTAGGAGAACTTTCATTCATCCACCTTCATGATGAGCTGGTCCTGCATTCTTGGGTCCTATTTATTGCACAGACATTCTACTTATTTTAATAAAAGATTCTGATTCCAAACAAATACCTATGAAGAAGATTGGAAGCTTTTCATGTAACTTATTTAATTGACCACACAACGGTGGAGTAAAGATGCTCTCTATTTCCCCCTCACTCACTCCCTTCTTTCAAATTCAGGGGTTGAGCCCTGACATTCAAGGTAACCTTATCTGCCACTTCGTTATGCTTAGTTTCCCCTAAGTTCGACGGGAATTTTGCCCCCAGAAAACGTGTCAGGGCTGCAAACGAAGACGAAAACGAGCCTAAGCTGCCTGGAGGCTCGACGCAAAATTCGTCACGAACAATGCATTCCTCTCCCGTGTCTAATACAATAAAAACTACCGTATTTATTGAATCCCCCCCACCCCCATATATCGTTTCCAAAACGTTACCTGCGGTTGCTCAAGAGTTAATGGCTGCAGCGCCCCGGGAAAGCGAAACGACCCTGAGCTGCGGCGGTTCTCACTCCGGTCCGGTCGTGCTCCCGGTGCACCAGCAATCAGCGTCTATCCCCGGCCCAGATCATGGGGGGTTGGGTGGGCGTAAACCTCAAAGGGAGCGGATTCTGCAAGTGCTTCGCGACGCACTTTCGACGTTAAAGTAACTCGGGGGAATAAATGAGAAGATACATAAACGAACACACGAGTGGAAGAGCGGGCCGCCTCTCTCCTTTTGTTCTTTCTTTTCTTTTCCCCACCCCGGATCTATTCCTCTGGATTCGTCCGCGGTTGCTGGCCACGCACGGCCCCGCGCTCTTGAGCCAACCCCTTCCTGTGCCGTTACGGTTTCTAAGCCGGACTGCAACCATCTACGCTTCCGCAGCTAAACTGCGCCTCGAACCGCCCGTGGAATAATAAAACATAAATAAACTGTAGTAAAAGGAGCTGTAGTACGAACGTCCTGGACTTGTCACAAGCAGATTTCCACTTCATGTGTCATTAGATTTCTTTATCTATTCACCCGTATGTGGGAATAGAAGACGAGGTTCGCGTGCATTTTAAAATCGTGGTTGGTTAAGCAAAGACGGGCTTCACATAAGCACACGAAACCGAAAACAAACCAGTGTTTAGAGGTTTTCTTTAGCGCAGTGTATGCATCCAACCATTAAAAACACTATTTAGAACCAGGTTAAAGAAAGGAGGCAAATGATTTCCCCCTTTGTAAGGATTCTCAAAAGTTCTCTCTCCTCAGGGGTAATAAGATTTAGAATTTGTTTTTGGTGGGTGACTCCTTGTTAACTTTTCAGGTCTTCGCTTGAGGAGTGAGAGGAAAACTTAATTCATCATTAATTCAGCAAATGATTTCCAGCTCAATGGATAGCTTGTGCAATTATATCAAATCTGGCCATTAGCCTAACTATAATGACCTGTTAGCAGTGTTATTCTTGATATGTAGAAAATAAGCTGTTTTATTGTGTTTACCTTCACTTTTAATTTTTAGCAGAATTTGTTCTTTATGTACTACAGATTTATGGTTTTTTTAAATGTTCACTTTAACAAAAAAAAATGAAATGGATTAATTGATAACTTAAAACACTAGGCCCCTCAATTTATCAGAAAGGAAAAATAAGAAAAGAATCTTCATTCTGATTTTCTGTCTCCCCTTCCATCAGGCAATGCTCTCAAACATGAGCATTTTCCTTGTAAGGAAAAATCTGGCATTATCAAGAGTCTGATTACTTGATGCCATTTCTTGAGCCATTAATCTTTCAGATATTCAGTTTAGGGCTATTATATCTGGGCAGCAGTACATAAAATGTTTCCCATTTAAGAGATGAAAAGAAAGTACAATAAATGCCATCTGAAGACTAGAATTACTGCATTTCCCCAGGCAGTCTGGTTGGATAGGGCAGACTTGATGGGAAAAGCTTAAACTGTTCTAAATGTGTCTTTTATTATGAAAATGAAGTCTGTTTCTGTTCTAGGGACTCACTGCCATTGCCGTCTTGGGTTAGGGAAGGGGCAGGGAAGCAAAAGGCAAGGCATCCTGCTTATGATTTACATGTGTATATGGGACAATCCATTTGCACTTTAGAGAATAATTTGTATTTAGACTGTATTGCAAGCTTAAGATTTCTAGGAACTGCTTTTTTGTTATTTCTGCCATGTTCTGCTCTCTAAGCATTTGTGAAGTGGTTGCCGTACATGAGGCAACTTCTGAGGCTTAACCTCAGAATTTTGAAGTATCAGAAGCTGACTTTAAGTTTGGATGTCACAAATTCTTAGAGTAGCTTGTTACAGCACAGTCCTGTGCATATCTACTCAGAAGGGATTGCAGAATTGGTCCTAAGGAGTTACTATTGTCCATTGTCACTCTTCTTCTCTTTCCCTGGCTACTTATGACAAGGAGAGGACACTTTACTCATAGGGAGGGAAGTTTTTGTGTGAGGGGTGCTGGCTAAAGTACTGTTTCTACTCTTTCCCAGTGTGAAGGGAAGCAGTGGAAGTCCTTCAAGACTTAATTGCTTTATGGAATCTTGGCAGCTGTGTTGTAATTGTTCAAGAACTCTTTGCCTAGTCGCTTTTGGACAGTGACACCAGGGCTCTGTTGAATCTTTTGTGTAGTGGTCACTTCTAGTCTCTGCCTCGCCTCTTGACTTATCTCAGTTGGAACAACAGGGTTGTCCCTGGCAACCTTTTCCAGTATCTAATTTGTGATGAGCTTTGTTGATTCTGTATTTTTATTCCCATCTGTTTTCCTGCAGCTGCCAGAAAAATCCAGTTCTTAATTAGCACGTACCATGCAAAAATAGTCATGCTTTTTGGTAGAAATGTGAATTCTCTGTTCAAAATATCTACGCAGCTATTACCACAATGGCACAGGGAAAGATTTAGAAATAACCAGTCAATCCTAAATCAGCAGCATTCATACCTAAACATTATTGCAATTTCATCATCTCAAAACAAAAACAAAACAAATGAATGGCTCTAAATCCCTGTTCTGACAAGTTCACTGGACATCCAAAGCCTTCAAATAAGTATATCGAATAAAATCCCAAACATTTTTTTCAGTATTTTGATACCTACCCCCACATTTCCATTTACTGGGCTATTGATTTCAATACACAAAACCCAAGAGAGATGTTTATGTTGACAAGAGGGTACAAATCAGATCAAACGGGAGGTCACTCAAATTAAAATTCTATCCTGGGGCTCTTTAAAAAGTTCTGCCATGGCTATGTTGGCAGGGAATTCTGGGTGTTCTAGTACCAACTCACATAGAAGCCACCCAGTTGAAGAAAGTTGGCGGTGCACTCCTGAGCACAGCTTCTGAATAGGGGCTTGCATTCCATCATGATGGACAGGTTAAACAAAGGGTTGGTTCAGCATACCATACCACACCTTAATAACCCAAAATAGCTCATATGTCTACAGCAATCTTGTAACGTGGGCCCCTCATTTGCTTATTTATATTTTATATTTATTAATTTTTTTTGCCACTCATCTATTATCTTTTCTACATACAATAAATCCGGAGCTTGTTTTCTGGTGGCTTCTATTCGGACAACAGACAGTGAAGTGCTCCGCTATTCATTTGAATTGACCACACAGAGCTACTGCAAACATTTTTAGAATATAGAATTCTTGATTGGCCAAGTGTGATCGGACACACAAGGAATTTGTCTTTGGTGCATATGCCCTCAGTGTAGATAAAGAAAAAAAATAAAATAGAATACATTCATCAAGAATCATAAGATACAACACAGTGATAGTCATAGGTTACTAATAAGCAATAAAATTATATGAGGGGAAAAAACAATAAAAAATTTAAAGATACAAGCAACATAGTTATAATCATAAGTGGGAAGAGATAGGTACTAGGAAGGAAGAGAAGAAGAATAGTAATACAGTCTTCATAGGTAATATGACAGTGTTGTGGGAATTAGTTGTTAAGCAGAGTGATGGCATTTGGGAAAAAACTGTCCTTGTGTTCTGGGGTGCAGTAGCCCTATAGTGTCGTTTTGAGAGTAGAAGTTGAAACAATTTATATCCAGAATGTGAAGGGTCTGTAGTTACTTTCATATATTTTATATATTATATTTGTATAATATAATTTTATACATTATATTTGTATAATACTGTACTGCAAGATTGCTATGCATTGGCGAGCAGCGTTGAGTTTGTGTTTACAGTATAAAAGCCCCTTGAGATGGTTTGTAGGGAGGGAGTGTAGTTTCTTAATGGAATAACCGAGTTGAAAGAGACCTTGGAGTTCTTCTAGTCTAACTCCCTGCTCAAGTTGGAAATCATCTACCATTTTAGACAGAGGACTTGCATAAACGAGCTGAGCCAATCCTGGCTCCGAAGCAGAATGAGGCTGTGAAGGGCTGCCTCTCCAGAAGTCTTTGCTTCCTCCGATTCAGCTAGACCTGAACAGACAAACCTATGTAATCGAGTCCACTCCCTACCCCCTTTGTAAGGCAGCTGAGTCTTAAATCGAGAGCGGGGAAAGAAAAAAGGCAAGGACAGGAAGACAGCCTATCTTCTTTTCGATTTCCGGGCTCTTCTAGGAATCCCAGCACTGTTGATCTCACCGTTGGCAAATTTTTCGAGGCATCTGCAGGGACAGTTGTAATCTCCGTTCTACTGGTGAAAGTTCTCCAAGCATATGATTAGAGTATCTTGTGCTGTCAGAAAAGAGGAGGACACTGTCCTTAAGGTTTAGGTTCACATGCTAAATTACCACCCTTCCCAGAACATGCCCTCCAGATGTTCCAGATCACAATATTTCCTAATAGATGTGCATAATACAAGACTGGGGTGGAGGATAAGAATTGTCTTCCCAACACATCTGGAGGGAATGAATTTGTGTGAGACTGAAAGTATGATTGCCTGTACTGCTTGTATTGCTCTTGGCTGTCCCAAGGATTTGCAAGAAACTGTTTATAAATTGGATTATCTGGATGTTATTTCTTTCCTGTGCTTTAATAACATTGCTTTTTCCAAAAGGCACATTTAGGTCTTACATGTTTAAGCATTTATATATTTATAAATATAGTACCTATATCTTATTTCTATTGTGCATCACAAGTGATGAATTTGACTTAATCTCAGTAGACATTATGTTTCAGGTCTACCACCTACTTGATATGAGTTGGCTATAGCCTTTCTCTCTCTCTCAACAGGCTTTTGGGGCAAAATCTGGTGGCAGGTTCTTGATAATCTGTTACTTTGAAAGAAACAAGATGCAAACGTATTACAATAGAGATGCAGCCCATTCAGTCTCTTTCCTAATAAGCATTACATTCTATCTTCATCCCCTTCTTCTTCTTCATGGGCCATCTCATGGAGTGTATATCACTGTTTCTAAAAGTGTGATCCCAGGACCCTGGTGGGTCCCCCCAAGATATACTCAGGTCTGTGAAATCAAAGTTATTAGCTAAATATTGAAGATAGTTGCAAAAACATTTTTAAAATGTGCTCTATTTAGTATTTTTTTAGAAAGTGTTCAGAGAGCAAAAAAAATACGAAACATTGGCAGCACATTATATGATTTGCAAATAGAAAATGTCACATTCATCCCCAATTCAAAAGACTAGTTCCAAAGCTTTGGCTGGATATATGAATATTTTATTAAGGCAGGACCATTCCAGTGAAAGCCTTAAGACCACTGATAAAAATCTCAGAATCAAGAAGTTTTTCCAAGAATATCTCAAGCAAATGATTATCTTGTCAATGTTTATTGCTACAATCAAAAGGAAACTCAATGCAATGTTGCTATTTTT